CCTCAGTTTAGACTTTGTCTTGGGACTTCCTAGATCACGGCGAGGTAACGACTCCATCATGGTCGTCGTCGACAGGTTCTCCAAGATGGCGCATTTCCTTCCACGTAAGAAAACTTCAAACGCCATGACTGTTGCTCATATTTTTTTTAGAGAAATTATTCGATTACATGGTATTCCAAGAACTCTCACTTCCGATCGCGACGTGAAGTTTATAAGTCATTTTTGGCGCGATCTTTGGAAACAGCTGGGTACTGACATTCGCCTCAGCTCCGCATATCACCCACAAACGGATAGGCAGACGGAGGTGGTTAACCGCACCTTAGGCAACATGTTGAGGTGTCTTGTGCAGGATCACCCAAAACAATGGGAAGATGTCTTGGCTAGAGCCGAGTTTGCTTTCAATTCGATGATTAACCGTTCAACTGGTAAATCCCCCTTTAGTATCGTGTATACTAAGGCACCGAGTACAGCTCTCGACGTCGCTGTTTTGCCCAAATGCAAGGCCCCCGCTGCTGCTACCTTCACTGAAGAACATCTGACATGTTGGAAGAAGTTTGTCAACGAATTGTGAAATCCAACTTGAAGTATAAAGAGATTGTTGATCGTCGCCGTCGGCAACGACTTTTCAACATTGGGGAGTTGGTTATGGTTCGCATTCGTAAGGAAAGGCTACCGCCAGGGACTCATTCCAAGCTTATGCGCAGGAAATTTGGGCCAGTTCCTATAACTGCTAAAATAAACGATAATGCATACACCGTTGCCTTGCCAGCTGACTTAAATATGTCCACTACTTTTAATGTGGCAGATATTTCTGCATATTCACCTCCTGATGATGGCACTGTTCACATTAGCTCGTCGGAGTCGAGCTCTTCTGAAGCGGGGGAAGACTGATGCAGTGCACGATAGTTATCTTGAGGAGCGGGACATCTAATGCTTCCTCAACGGTTTTCTGACAACCACTTACTATCTACTTTTTCTTACACGTGCCTTAGTTTTTATTTTTCCTAGTATTTTATGATCTGTTAATGATGGCCTTTTGAGCTTTCTAGAAGCGGCCTTTATAGGGAGATTGGCTGAGGAAGAAGACGGCTAATCATTTTGATACTCCTCATTTTACTATAGCAATAGAAATATCCCCCTGAATATACAGGGCCCTTCAATCCGGTACTGTGTTCTTTGCATACCCTGTTTTTATTTCTTCCTTACAGGTCCCTCTTGCATTGAAGGAACAGAAGATCGATTCGCGCGAGATCGGAGGTTATTGGGCTACACCATATAATAGTTGATATTAAGGCTTGGTATATCGTCAACAAATTATTTTGATTGGGAACGAATCTTGAGGCAAAGTTGAATCAGAAACTTCCGAAGTTAACTCCGAGACCATTTGAACTCAAATTTCAATATACTTATAGTCGAACTGAACATCTCGAAAAGACGAACCCAACAACACCAATTGATCTAGTCTGAGCCCAAATAGATCAAAATCGAGGGCCTAATGCACGTTTGGAAGCTTTAAAGCATAAATTGAATGATCAAATGATTTAGAAATGCTACAAGCTTATAATCGAATCGAGCGGCTCGACGAGAGGAATCCAACGAGCCCAATATCATTGAATTCTAACATCAATAAGGCAATCAAATGCTCGATAAACGGCTTATGATTAAGGGAATCAATATCGTCCCTCCATCAAAGACAATCCCAATATACCATTGATCTCCTCCCTATTTACTAACTATGTCACTCCAAAAAAATCTATAAATAGACAACCCCCTATTCGTCACAAAATAAAGAGGAGAAAGAAGAGGAAGAAGAAGAAATCTGATATAACTCTTGCCACCAAGCTCCCCCTTGACTATCATCGGACCACCGATCGTCTCCGAAATTCCGCCCAGCCATCAGCCATCGTCGGATTTCTGCCCGGCCACTGACCGTAGTCGAACTTATGTCTGGCCACCAGTTGTCGCCAGATTTCTGTCGATCGCCGACCATCGCCGTACTTCTGCCCGGCCGCCAACAGTCGTCAAACTTTTGCCCGACCACCGGACTTCTGCCCGGCCACCGACCATCGCCGGACTTCTGCACATCCACGAGCCCTCACCGGACTTCTGCCCGTCCACCAGCCCTCGTCGGACTTCTACCCGACTACCGACCATTGCTAAACTTCTACCTAATCATCAACCGACATCAGACTTTTGACCAACTCCTTAAACTATTGAAATTTCACCGTCTCCTGATTAAAAGACGAATCACACGTTGTAATTCACTCAAATTTAGTGTAATCATTTCTACTCGTCGTGGCCCCGTGGTTTTTCACTTTTTCTTTCGGGGTTGTCCACGTAAAGATCATAGTGTTTTCTCTTCTCTATTTGTGTGTTGAATATTTGTGCAACACTAATAACATATATGTAAATCTAAATAATATTATATATCTAAAATTATATTTTTTATACAAACAATTAATGGGCCAACCATGATCGAACAAAAGTCTATTCCTATTTGACTCATTTAAAAAACCAGCTCAAAATGTATGTTCAATCTCGGCTCACTCCAATGAGTGAGTGGAACACAAGCTTTTTAATGAGCTGAACATGAGTTTTTTGCAAAAAAAAAAAAAAAACTTTTTGACCATCCCACTTGAGGCATCCGTGGTAAATAAACATAAAAAATATACCACAACTTCAACATTGAGTAGAAACAAAAATCAAATTAAAGGTTTTAAGACAGTTTTTCATTTATTTGATTTTTAGTAGTAAATATAGTTTTATTTAACTAGACCTCAGTGCTTTCTAAAAATTTCAATGATAAGAGTTTTTGCAACAAATCTGCTAAAGTATGGTAACCATAGAAAAGTTGCAGTACAACTTTTTTAAAATGGAAAAAAAAATATATAATAACCCACAAAAGCATTCAAAAATCTAATTTACAGACACATTCATGCAATTACTTTCACAGATAGTTGTAATCAAATAGGCCCTAAGTTCCTTTTGCATAGCCCATTTAACATGTGCAGTGAACACTAGAACATAATTATGCCTTCTAGATCAAAGCCAAAAATAAATTTGTTTTGGCCACAACATTGGCCCTGTGTAGGATATTTTTTGTCTTTATTTTCGGAATTAGATTAAATATGTATTAACTATACTTGATATTTGATAAGTTACTTCTTTAGTTTTAAAAAATAAATTGGTGATTTTTTTCAAATGTTTAAAAAACTATTTTAGGTGTTTTCTATATTTCAAAACAAACTTTCATTCATAGCACACAATTTAAATGTGCAAGTATGACCTAGTCAGCCTCCGCCGCAAATAGATGTGAAACCAAATTAAATCGCACATTCGATGCTCTGATCATATATTGTCACCTTCATAAACTAGAGGTCACAAAAAGCAGACATGCTCAGAAAAAAATTACCTACTCAACACATGACACAAATTTCCATTCATCAACATCCCCGCGCCAAGGTCCTCGATGACGCAAACCTTCTACACAACACTATTCCGAGCACCGCAGAAGAACACTAGAGCACATTCGTGCTCACAGTAGAAGCTGTAGGGAAAGTAAGGGCGTAAAGGGTTGGGTTTGAGTGACATCTGGGGAACTGGAGTTTGAAGTTAGAACGATAGCGAGATACCCCTTGCAAGAAGATGACAAATTTAAGATGTTCTCATATCTTAGATCAACGAGTGAAAGAGGAAAAGGCATGATTTCTATTGGGATGGTGAATTCATATTTGGGTAAAGTTGACAAGGGTTTAGTTTATGGTTGGATTGGGTTGACCTCATAAAATTTAAATTATTTCTTTTAGTTGTGCTATTATTTTTTCAGATTATTTTTAATTATTTATCCTGACGGAGCATAATTTCTGATTTTATCATGGCAACTTTTTTCCTTTTTTGAAACTAATAAATGCATAATACAAATGAAACATGCTTTTGTTTCAAGCAATAACATAAACAAAGTAAAACCAGAAAAATTAAAAACAGAAAAAAAAAAAGCAATACCAAAAAGTTCAGGCCTCTTAGCAAATCACATCAGAAAAAAGAAATTTTAAGAGACATAACACAGAAAACTGGCAATTAAAAAAAACAATCGAACAGATCAAGCACTTACTTGCACCATTTGTGATGTGCAAATATTAAAAGCAATGTAAGATGAATAACCAGCAGTGCACTTGCAAGTTCTTTTGAGATAAATATTTCTTCTGGAACAAATTTGAAATTAACAGACCTGAAAGAATGAAATAAATGAATATGAGGCAAGTAACATATAAAAACATCAAAATAAGCGTATAACTGTGATACCATTGAATTCAAGCTTGTTTACTTAAGATATATGTATGTAGTAGTAATATTCAAACAGCGTAAAAAGTCTTTCAAAAAAAGGGTTTTTTAACTACTTATTAAAAATGATCTTTAAAACCCCCAAAATAAAGCTTATTTTCCAAATAAGCATCAACAGAGAAAAAATTATGAACTTTCTAATGAAGGGTGCGCCTTCACTAGACTGCATGAATACAGATACGTTTTGAGCAAATGTCCTAAAGATAGAACAGTTGGGGGCAGAGGCACACGTGGATTATATTCTCTTTAAAAACCACATTAGTTCGTTGACCCAAAAGAACCTTATTTAATTAAGATCATAAATATTATTTGCATAGATAGTCTAACAAACTACTAAATCCAGCAGATATGTACAAAAATCATAGAATTTCAATTTATATACTGTAGAAAATTGAATCCGACCAAAAAAAACAGTGGAGAGCCTTGCTGCGGTAGGTATCCTTTTACTTGTTCTTTAGCTAATATTCAGCTGCATGAATATTTCAAAACTGCATTGAGTTGAAAATAATTCTCTCCAACTTCACTAAATTCTTATAATGAAACATCAATTGAAAGTAAAGGGGAAAACATGTAGATTTATCCCAAACACCCCATTCCATAAGACATAAGCATTCGAAAAGTCAATACTTCTAAAAGAAGCATCTTGAATTCTTGATAAATGGAAGAACCCTTATGGCATTAAAGAACAAATGGACTTAATAGCCTCTAATTTAAAAATCTCAAGATGTCTACAAATTTAAAGAGATATGACAACTAACTTTTGGATTTTCAAATATATTATTATTTGTTATTTCTACAGACATAGAGCCTTCTAAACGTAAGCTTGTAAATGTGGGCACTTGTACAACAAAAGTAGCTATGATCTTCTGGTGAAAAACTGACAATGAAGGTCTAGAAAATAGCATCGGAAACAAACTAACACAGTTTTAAAATGGCGCAAACAACATTGACTATAACAATCTGCATAGATGAGAGAGCTGAATGCTGAACAAATAATTCCTAATCAATACGTAAGAACAAAAAATATTGCACAAACATAAAGAGAATTTGACTTCAAATAAATTGCTAACATGAGAACTACTGTATGATTTGCACTTCCATACATGAAAGCATTGCGCCTTAAGAAACAGAATAGCAAGTTTCATACTAAAAATTTACCAGAAGTGGATGAAGACTCGACCAAGGTTGAAAGCTCTAGAAATGTACGCCTTCGGATATGACAATAGAAAAGGCAAGCCCAAGACAACCTGCAACACATGGCACCAAATTACTGTTCCTATAAAAACAATTTGGATCATAAAATGCTCGGTATCATCCCATACAAACCCAATTAAATGCCAATATAAGTATTCCATACCAAAAAAAATAAGTGTCAAAAGGCACTCAGATTAGAACATACAAAATGTCACTTGACCGTACCCAAAGCCTGATGAAGTGGAAAATTAAGAAAATCATAGAAAGTGATACAACCAACAACAACATCAAGACTTTATCCTACTATATAGGGTCAACTACATGAATCCTTTTTTCTCCATTGTGTCATGTTAAGAGTCAAATTCTCATTTAAATCTAATAAAGAAATGTCATTTCTAATATTTTTCTAACCAAGTCTTTTTAGGTCTACCTCTACCTTTCTTAACATAAGCCAAATCTAATACATCTACTTTCCTAATCAGGTCATCAGAAGGCCGCCATTTAAAGTAAGTGACCAAAACATCTAAGGCAACTCTCTAATATTATCTTCTACTGGAGCTACTCCAACCTTTTCACGTATATGCTCATTTCTTATCTTGTCTCTAAGAGGAAATCCACTCATCCACCTGAGCATACTCATCTCAACAACACTTAAACTTAATATTATGCTTTTCTTTTAATGGCCAACATTCTGCACCATAAAGCATTGTCGGTCTCACCACCATCTTATAAATTTTTTTCTTAAGTTTGAGTGGGATTTATTATCACACAACAAGCCCGATGCATTCCTCCACTTCAACTAACCAACTTGAATTCTACTAATAATATCCACATCTACTTCACAATCACTCTAAACAATAGACCCAAGATAATAGAATGTAATACAACCAATGCAAAAAATAACAATAATTGCATTTTGGAAGAAGCATTCTTGCAAAAGGTATAATCAACAAAGTGCCAGACCATTTATCAAAATACGGTTGAGGAAATGACGACCACATATTTAGAGAAGCATGACAATAGCTTATATTCTGATAAAAGTATGAAATTCACGCAATCCATAAGTGCTGGTGGTTTCAAAGTCCAGTCTGGTGATATGTGTGATTGCAAAGTTGTCATTTCATCATTGTGGACAAGTAGACAATCCGTATGCCTCTTCAAGAGGTAGAAACCTCCATCAAATTTCAAGAAAATAAATGTGTATACTATAGAATAACTTCTTTAATTCCAATACAATTATTAGTAACCATATGTAGAAGTTATCGAGAGTAAACTAGAATTTTATTGTATAATAGAGCAGCAAGAGCCCTAATGAAATATACAGGAAATACTAACTATTTCTATTCTCTTCATGGTATCAAAGATGTACAAACAAATAAAGCATGAGCATGTTTTTTTTTGTTTCCTTATTCCAACATCCTCAAAAGTTCTCACCCTCCCTCTCTTCCACCTCCATGCTCCACCTTTCTCCTGCCTCCACCTCCTATTACTCCACCATAAGCACACGTGGCTCCACTACAATCAACCACCAACATTCAACTATTCAAGAGAGAAAATTTCTTCTTTTCTTTTTAAAGAAAATGTCTTCTGTATTAAAAGATATTGATCAATCAAATGGTCCTAATCAAACCTTAGTAGGCAAATACCAAATCATCAAACTCTATTCAAATTGAATGGAGAAAATTAGCTTATTTGGTCCCAAAAATTGAAAACCTTTCTCAAAGGAGAAGAAAAAGTTGGGACACCAAATTGACCACATGCAAAGCAAACACAATCTTGATTTTGATTCATGGGATGTAGAAGATTCCTAAATTATGTCATTGCTATGAAATTCAATGATACCAAAAGTCAACGGAACCTGTATGTTTCTAACCACTACCATGACTATCTAGGGCATTGTGATGCAATTCTATTTCGAAGTATGTGATGTTTGACTTCATCTATGAGTTTAATATATAAATTCATACCACCAAGCTAGATACTCTTTCAACTACCAAATTTTATAGCCAAATGAAAAAAGGGGCTTGCTCAAACTTGATTACTACTATTGGTCATATCAAAATGAGATGCTATGAACAATAAATGAGATTAGTATGGAGAGTACGTGGTAAGCTATAGTGTCTTAATAAATATACCCAACAACATAAAAACCCAAAATGTCTCTTCATCCCTTACTTATAAGGTTAAGACGGCTTACAAAAATGGTCATATCTAGAAAAAATATCTATACAAATAATACATGATCTGATAGTTATAAACTAACACCACTTATGGATTGGCTGGGTGAGGTACATGTGGGTCCCTCCCTGTCTCTAATGTGGCCCCCTCCTTTCAATGAGCGCCTTGTGCAAGGCTTTGAGGGCCAGTGTCCTGAATGAGTCTCCTGGATCTAGCTTACAGAGCGAGTTTGTGTGAGGAAGTCCTTAGGAACAAGAGGTGAGATCTTAGGAACAAACGTCAGGTCCCTGAAAGCATGGGGCGAGTCCCTTAAATGATGGTAGCTACAAGCCAAAGAGTCTGACAAGTGAAGTCATAGTCACAAGCTTTAAAGGTGTGCACTTTCTGTAGCTTGATCGAGGATGTCTACAGTAAATGAATAACCTAGGTTGCGGATAGCCACTGTGGGTGATTCAATTAAGGCAAGTGGTCCTCAGAGCAAGGTCAAATCTTAGCAACACTTTTGTAGGAGCTCACCAAGAATGATTGCATCATCAATATGTTCTCTCAAGATGAGTATGCACGCTACAAAATCTACAAGGGAGAGTAGCTACTTGACCATGGACTGACACTTGATATTACTTTGCGGGGTCATACTCCTTTTAGGCGACTGCCAACTTGACTATATAACCACCCTGATTGAGTTCCTTGATGGAAACCTACTAGATACATAGGCATGTATGAGTATACAATTAATTCCCCGATTCACTTGCTCCTTGGAAAAGATGAAAGATTTATTATTTTTACCAAACAATATAAAAGGAGAGCAAGTAAGAGTTACCACCTTGTTATTATTGTTGCCTCGAAAGTTGAACCCACTTTAGAGATTCTTCATTATGACATTAATTTGATGTCTTGTGTTATCTTCAACTATAAATAACAATAAGGTGCAACGATATAGCTACACGTCTTTCCTTTAGCCCTTGAGTTTATGCTACTAACTCACTTAAGATGGCTAATCCAGACCTTCAAGGCTTGCTAACAAAAGCAATAAGAAGTTGAAAAAAGTACTCCACAAGCGCAAGCAGATTGAGAGCAAGAAGAAGATGGTGGTTATTGAGGCAAGCTTTCCCATTAGCCCATAATTGAGCAAGCCAACGACATCTACAATGAGAAAGATTGAAAATATAATAGAGCAAGGCAGTAGAGACAGATGAAAGTTTGGAGAGGGCAATACTCACATCAAGCTTCGATGATGTGTCCCTTTCTGAAAGGCACAAAAGGCGAGTCTATGCTATGAAGGAAAGCGAAGCGCCTGCTACAACGAATGTGATCCTAGAGGCCACAACTCGTGAAGATAAGAGTTCTTTCGCAATTTCTTAGCAAGCCATATATGACGGTCGAGTGTCACCGACCTTGAGCAAGCCAAAAGTCCACTTACCTTGAGCGATTTCTTAGAACACCCACCAAGTGAGTTTTGAGGCGTCATCGTTGACTCGATTGGCGTCTGGCTTCATGCCAAAATAGTATATTTGCATGATAGGACTACTAGAGATTATGTTGAATCTCTTGGACAAAGAATTTCCTTTTTTCATATCCTCTTACCTCTATACCACTGGAACAACTCCACTGGCAGTGAGCATTGCAAGGCAATGAGCGCCACTAGGGGTGTAAGTGAGCCGAGTCGGCTCGAACCGACTCGATAACGAGCTCGCAAGCCGAGCTTATCGATCCACGAGTTCGAGGTTGACGTGGCTTGACTTAGGAGCTCACGAGCCGACTCGAATTACTATATGTATTTTTTTATTATTAACATTTTTATTACATTTGAAAGTTTAAAACAACAACTTCATAGCTAATTAAAAAACAGCCCAAATACTACACCTAATAAATGCTACAGCTTTAATTATTACTAAAGCAACGACATGTTCAAAAAAATTATATAAAATATGAAGGAAATGTTCCCAAAGTTGCAAGCATTAATTATCAAGAGATAAAAGCTGCAGGTTTTTTCTGTACAGGAGAAAAACCAAATAGAATGTTCTTCCCATCGATGAAAAAATGCAAGTCTTCTTCTTCTTCGGCTTCGGCTGTGATTGCGTCGGCGGTTAACCCATTTTTTTGCGGTGAGCTCGTGAGCTGGCTCGCGAGCTTGTCTTTAACGTATGAGCCTAGCTCGAGCTCGAGTTAGGCATGACTCAAACTCGGCTTGACTCGTTTACACCCTCAAGCACTCGTTTACACCCTCAAGCACCACTCACTACATAAGCTTAGTATATGACTAAGATTGATAAGGTCTTGGAGGGTCAACAAGCTAAGGAGCTAGGGCAAACTCAACCAAAGAACTTCCAATAACCCAATTACGATGACCATAATGACTCCAAACATCTTTCTCTTAAATGGTAACCTAGATGCAAAAGCCCCCACCTAAGGGATGCCTTTGTTTTTGGCACCCCGCCTACACCTAGAGCAAGTCAACCTAGGGGAGAAGATGCTCAACATCATCCAAAGCAAGCCCGAGGGAAGACCTGGGCCTCAAAGAGGGCGAGTGAAGCAAGTGACGAGGTCTCTATTACACGTGGAAGAGAAAGGAGTTGTGCCTCCCGAGCTATCATTAGATCCCTTGTATATTATAGTTTAAGGGGATGAGTACGCTCGCCTCATTATGTAAAAAAAAAGGTAATGTAAAAAATGTTCAAGTAATTATTTTTTTAAGTATATACGTACTCTTTTGAAAAGTTGTATGTTTTCTTTGTTAACTTTGCTTTATTGTTTTCTAGTTTTCTATGTATGGCGACTCATCATTTATTGTTTCCATTGATAGCGATTCAACACCTTAACATTTTTGGTTTGACTCTTCATCAGGCAAGTCAAGGAAAACTCTAAGTAAAGCGAGTCAATAATGACCATTGGTGATGTAGATCGAGAACAACTCTTTGATTTTGCAAGTCAATGCAACTTCTTACTCTTTTTATAAGGGCAATCCGTATAGCGTGAGTTATAGAAAAGATGATGAATATTTTCGTAATGATGAAGATATGGGAGAAATATGGAGTAGGGGTGTAAATGAGTCGAGTAGGGTATCTACCTAATCGAGCTAAGCTTGTTTAATTGTTACTGAACTCGAGCTCAACTCGTTAAAAAATTCATAGGCACAAGCTCGACTCGATTGCTCGATCTCGTTTAGAAAGATTAAGCTCGACTCGATTATTGAGCTCGATTTCTTAGTTTTAAATTAAAAAATCATTTTTTTTCTAAATATTTATATTTTAATATAGAATTAATTTAAAATTATTAAAATTTATTAGATAATGCTAATTTTATTTAATTGAGCGGCTCAACGAGTTTCTGAGCCGAGCTTGAGCTCGATTATAAGCTCGAGCTTGTGGTTAGATAAGCTCGTTAACGAGTCGAGCTCGAGCCGACTAGGCATACTTACTCCCCTAATATGAAGTATTACTGGTAAATGTGACTAGAGCATCGAAACCCAAGTTACTACTCCATAAATGCCCGCTAGCCTAGATAAGAGTGGCACTATCTTTGTGTTCTAAACTCAGTGCTTCCTCTCTCTTTGCTCTATTCTCGCTTTCACTTGAGCATGTGTTTCCTCCTGAGAAGGCGGCTTTGAGAAGGAACCACAAAGCGTTCATCGAGTCTGAGTATCATCAAGCCTCAAAGCCAACTGAGAGGTTCACCGACATGATGTTCTTCGGGTACTACTACAAGGATGCAAATCAAAATGTCTGAGTGCTCACTGAAGATAAGCATCTAAGCACTTTCCACGAGGACAAGATGTGCATCCCTTGTGATCATTTCAAGCTCAACCTATGACCCACTTTGTTGGGAGTTGTTCAAGATCATAAATTTCTATGGGTTCGTGACTACACATCATGCCAAACTCAATTACAAACCTGTTATACCATGTATTTGTTGTCAAAGCCTTCAAGGAAGGCAACATATGATTCTCCTCAGTTCGCATGAGGATGGGCAACCTGGAGAACAAGGTCAGGTACTAGAAATCAAAGTTAGTCTTCATTAAGTTTATGGGGGAATGGGCAGTGTTGATTCACCCAATGCCCTTCACTTCACGAAGGATGTGGTGTATGAGCTAAGTGAGTAGGAAGCTCGTGCATTTGACCATCTTAATAGAGGAGGGGGTCACTGTGGGTTAGTAACCACATGAACATGTTGTGCATGTATTATACCCTATACAGTAAATAGCACACATCTTATTTGAGCAAATTTTCTTTGAGTGTTCATCTCGCTTTGATGTTGGCTTTGGATGTTCTTTGCATGTGGCATGTCAAGTTGTACACACTCAAAGGACCCTAATGAGTTGGAGTTCCATGGCGATGATCCCTTAGCCGAGGAAGGAGAAAATAAGTATAGGAAGATAGGAAAAGACCCATGCATGAGTCCGAAAGAGAGACCTCCAAAGGATAAGGAGATCTCTCCTACTTGCCAACCAGTGGAGGTGGTGAAGAAATAGCTAGAAGGTGCTAAGGAGAAGCCTCATCTGAAGAAGAAGCTTGTGATCATTGCATATTAGTGAAGGTTGTGCCTATTCACGCTATTGGACCCTCAATATAGCCTCAAGAAGGACAAAGTCGGCTCACCATGGTAGAGGTAGAGCTATCTGAAGTCGCCCCTGCTCGCCCGGCTATTGTAGTTTCGCCCCCTTTTGTAAGCAAGGGAATAATTCTAGTTGAATACTCGACTTTTTTTTCAAGCCAAGAAGGTGCTAAAACCCAAGCCCAAGCCCAAGCCTGTGGAAGGTAAGGGCCAGCAAGTAATCTCCTCTCGGAGAACGAATTCGCCTCAAGTTGTGGCGAGGGACTGGTTAGATTTGAGAACAGGCCTAAGATCACGGACAACTCTAAGGAGAGGAGTAGACATTACACCCTTCAAGGAAGATGTTTGACATGTAGAAGGTGGACTTTTCGGCCCCCATAGATAAGGACTTGAAGGCAATTCCAAAGGACGAGCTTGCATTTGAGAAAGAGGTTGAGTCCTGTAGGAAATGTCAAAAATATAAAGTTTGTTCTCCGCGATGAATTTGCCATGAGGTAGGCAGTTGAGAAAGAGGTTGAGTCCTTGAAAGCTGAGTTGGTAAAGATGAAAGCGACTCACCAGGTGGAGCTGGAGAACGACGTCGCTTTGAAGGAGGCTAAGGAGTCGGCAAGGAAGCAGTTGGATGAAGAACTTGCCTCACAAGCAGTCAAATTCAGAGTGAAAAAAGAGAAGTGGGTTCCCTCCTTCCACACTCCATGGCACCATGAAATCCTTAGCAAGAGGTTCAGCTCGCGGATCGAGTATTGTTTAGATGAGCTGTCACCTCCAAAGAGCTGAACAGTTAGTTTGAGGACAAGGATCTTTTCTTCAAGTTGATGTCTGACACCTCGGGGAGAGTAATAAGGTGAATACAACCAATGACTGAGATTGCCTTGCTTTTTTTTTTGGCCTCCAGGGCATATATAACTCAATTTTTGAGAAATGAAATGAAAATACAATTTTTTGCTTGCTCTTCTTTTATATATATATATATATATATAGATTTTGCATTGTGACTACCATGCATTATATCTAGTGTGTGCTACAACCATCGAAGTCGATGAACGAGGAGTTTGCTCGAGGCTAGTGTGTACTAGACTGAGCAAACAAAAAGATGCAGACAACTAAAATGCGGCCAAGTCGGAGAAGTCTGAGTTTGGATCATTGGGTGTATATAGTGCAGTAAAAATCGAATCAAATAAACACAAAGCCAAACAATGTCTATGCAAAGGCTGAGCTAGAGTGCGACAAAAGCGATGTGAGCAAAAGCCATACTATATCAGGACCTCAATCGCAAGCATGATGGAAAGAAAATATCAGGATACAAAATTCTATCTAATGATCATGAGCATTTATGGCCCACAACTATATCATATGCAGCAATTCTTCATTCAATAATTCACCTGAAAACACTATGAATCACTAACCTATCTGCCAAAAAAATTGGCTTATGGATATTGAGAGCAATAGCAATATCATATATATCCAACTATAAAGCAAAAGAAAATTTCAAAAGAAAAATATCTAACTAGAAAGCAAAACAATTCATCGCAGAACGTGAAATTTATAAACATTAGATTGAAACAAAAGCTGAAAATCAGCTATCTAAAAACTGGATATTGTAAACAACATATAATATGCCAATGGCATTATAAGAGGTGTGATGTATTTCTTTTTAGCACACCACAAAAATGAATTTAAGAAAAGGATTTATAAAGCCACCTTACATAACTGTAATAATGATGATGTTGATTATGCATTATATGAAAGAGTTCAGCTAAAAGTTATGAAAGACACGAAGAGCTTTCAATGCAATACCAAGGAGTTTGGAAACATACCTGCACCAATGCAGCAGATAACAAGCAGGATAAAATACCCTTAACACTCAGAGCCTATACCACAGAAATTCAAACAACAGGAAGATGGAAATAAATATAAGATCATAAACCAAGAAGTTCCAAGATGCAAAATTGATGTACCTTCAACACAAGCAGAAGCAAGGGTGGGGCAAAAAGGAGAACATTCATTTTCACTGATACAGCTGCACTGTCGCAAGAATACAATTAAAGTAGTCTAAATAGCATTAACTAATTCCAATGTGCATGAAAACAAATCATGATCAATAGATAATTTTCAATGATGGAATAACATTCAAGAACATCATAATCACCTGAAGATTATTAAAGCGGAATGCCATTTTTGATAGAGAAGCAAAAGCATAGCAGCATGAAGCATAGTCATTGCAACACAGTCATTAAATAGGCGAAGCATAAATATTGAGTGAACTCTCTTTGACAGGCAAAGCAACACAAATGCCCACCAAGGAAGCTGCAATTTGCACCAAATGGATAACCAGTCAAGGGCAGGAGAACCCATATGAGACTAATAAAACGGTAAAAGATATGGTTAAGCATATAAGTAAAATAGATTTAAGGAAAGAAAAAGCACACACACTTCAACTGAGGTCATCTAATATGATATTAAACAGGACAAAATTGCATGATATCATTAGCATACCTTTGAGACTTTACGAACCCAAATTAATCTAAGTTTTACTGAAATTTTTTAACCTTGGTTAAAAATAGATACCTAACAGTTGAAAAAATAAACCATTGTCACCTGCCGTGGTTATAAAGGTTATTAAGTTAGGAAGGCTAAAGATATTAACAAAAAGGGGAAGAAAAGATAGAAATAAAGACATAAAGAATAAAAGTAAACGAAAATATCACGGAAAGGGCTGGAAATGTGTATTAGAGTTCACAAGTCTTTAAGTTTCTGGCGTCATTCCAATTAAGTACATAAAAGATACTTAAAATTATGCTATATATTTGATGCGGACATCAGTCAGAGATTTCGACACGTGTACCATCGACGGAGACGTAGATCGATGGCCACGATTCATAGTCTGTACTTTTGATATATTTTGTAATTTTTATTTATGTTATTTAGATTTCCGAGTTTACCCCTGAGGGTAGAGAGTCTCTTTTGTAGCCCCGTGGGCATTTGTGTCTTTTTCTATTTTCTTAGACTTGAGGACCATATATAAGAGTCTCCATGCTTTGTAATGATTATTATTGGATGAATGAAAATTTTGTTTTATGATCTCTTAGTGAGTTCTTGAGTGAAATCCCAAGATCTCTTAGTGAGTTCTTGAGGAAGGGATTTTTCTAGTTGGGTTCTCTCATCTCTCCATTATTCTCCTACCTCACCTCCCTTCTAGAGTTCCTCCCAAGCTCCACTGCCCCTTCCCTCTTTCCCCTCCCACGGTTTTCCCCACCTCAGCCCCATCCCACCGCCCCAACCCAGCCTCCCCAACCCCACCGCAACCCCACCCCTCCTCCCTGCCCTACCGCCGGCTGCAGCCAACCGCCAGCCAGCCGACTCCACTCCGCCACCCCCTTTGGCCATCCAGCCTTGCCGACGGCCCCCCTTGATCTCCTCTTTTGAATTTCAAAATTCCCTTAATTAACTCCCTTTCCTAAATGGTCTTCCTTTATTTTGGAAGTCAATTAAAGGGAATTAATCCAAATTTGAAATTCAAATCCCTTTCCCTCCCATATTACACCAAATTAGGAAGCTTTCTTAAATTAAATCAAATCTTGAATTTAAGTTCAGATTTGATCATAATTTATTTATTCACTAGTGGCCCCACCTAATTAATTCCAAACTCTCTCTCCTCCCCATATGGCTGGCCACTCCATTCTTTCTCTCTCCAATTGCCACCTAATCACCACTTAATACCTCATTAATGCCTCTCCCTCCCAAATTTTAATTTAAAATTTCAAAACCTGAATTTGAAATTAATTCTTTTTTCTTCTTTCTTATTAGGAATCTGAAATTAAAATTTAGATTTAGTCCTTCCACAAAATAGCCTCACCCTCTCCCCTCTCTCCCTCCCAAACCGTGACCCATCTTCTCCCACGCCTACGTCCCAAATCTTTCCCTCACCCCTCTACCGCCGGCTACACCTCCCCTTCCCTTAGCTCTTCATTCTCCCAATTCAATACTATCATGAATGGCGGATCCGGAAGTTGATCAAGGATTCGTAGAAGATATCAACGGGAGAACCGATATTCTACGCTCCCCTTTCTTTGACCCTTACTCAGGTTGGGATCTCACGACCGACGGCTACCTCAATCGGATCTAATATCAACTAGCACTATCAACTGAAGAGCACCTCCCATCCGGACGTTGTACCATCATAAGCAACCGACCACTTCCACCACCGCCGCCTCCTTCTCTACCACTACGGATAGTCTGCGCCATCTACCTTGGAGTGATTTCGTTTCTCGCGTGGTTCTTCTTCCTCAGTCAACCCTAGAAGTAGGAGAGCGACTTTAGACCTCGAGGTGAATCGATCATTTTGTTAACAGTTGGATTCTAGTTGACTAATCATTCCATTACTTTTGTTTAAGTTGTTACTTTAAGAACTTGCAAATTTAGTTGTAATTGATTGTCTCAATATCGTTTGCTTCTAAGAGCTTCCTTGAGTTCATTTTTGAGACGCCTTAAGATTAACTTTATCATTGCTCAACAACTTTTATTAATTTCATAAAACAATTCTCGGATTTACATCATCTTGGTATTAGAGCATGGCTAGCATGTGTCATATGTGCTAGAAGTCATCCTAGGAATTCATCTAGCCTTTTTCATGAATGTTTGCATGCTTACCATCGTATAGTTATTTTAATTCATTGATTTTGCTTGCTGCCCATTACATTCCTGCACTTTTTACATCATTTTAATTGAGTCTACTCCATTGCTTAAGTGTTGTCCACATCATAAAACCCCTTCTAAACCCTTAGGCCACTTAGCCAACAACTATAGTTTGCTGTCCCAACATAAATCAGCACCATTTAGTTGTGTTAGGAGCATTTTAAACTAGTGTTTAGGTGCTGCCTTTGTCCCCTTTACCCACCCTAGTGGCCCTAGTAACTTCCCATGGATTCGGAAAACATTCAAGCAACGCTGGACCTTATCGTGGGTCAACTTGGGACGGTTAACCAGCAAATTAGGAACACCCAAACTGATTTAGCAGACTTTAGACGCCAAATGAGCGAGCGACTTGATAACATTGAGCATCTAGGAAACCCTGCAATTTACACCCCGTCTAGACCACACTCCCCATATGGTGATGAGACTAGGACTGAATATGGAATGCATAGGGACCATTATCATCATAACATTAGACCGAACCAAGACCCTATAAGACGTGAACCCATTGGGAGAGATAACAATGCTCAACTGCTTATGAACATTCGAATAGACGCACCTACTTATGACGGTACCCTCGACCCGCAAATTTTCTTAGACTGGATAAAAGGGATGGATACTTATTTCAAATGGTACAGTATCTCAGAAGAACAAAAAGTTAGATTTGCGGAGATGAAGCTGGCGGGCCGAGCAAATCACTACTGGACAAACTTAGAGAACATGCGTGAAGCCCGAGGAGAGCATCCTATCACCGACTGGAGAACCATGAAACAGGAACTCAAGAGAAAATATCTACCCTCTTCCTACTACCCTAAACTCTTAGATAAGTGGAACAGGCTCACCCAAGGGAGTAAACCTGTCAAGGATTATATCTCTGCCTTTGATGATTACCTAATTCATTGTAGTGGTGAAGAAACCACTACCCCAGCCCAAATCCTTTCTATGTTTAGAGCTGGCTTAAGAGAGGACCTACGAAATGAGCTTTTTGCTAGAGGAATTGACACTTTGGAAGCAGCCTGTAGCTTAGTGCTTGACCATGAGGAGTCTAGGACCCATTCTCACTCTCGGCATCCTGACTCCCATTCAAACCCCTATAGAGCTTCTTCCAGTCAACCTCAAACCCGACCTGCGGGTCCTGTGGTTAACCGACCTAATGCAAGTCAACCTTAATCTCGTCCCGACCTTAAGGGAAAAACTCCTGAACGCGATACCTCCAAGGTAACCTCTAGGACTAAGTGTTATCGGTGTCATGGTTATGGGCACATTGCCTCTCAATGTTCTAGCCCATACAAAATTACTATAATTGAGGAAGTTGAAGAAGAAGAGGTCGAACCTGACATTGATTTAATCCATCACGTTGAGGACGAAGACGACTTCTTTTGTGATGTGACCCTGTGGATTTGCAAGTGGTGAGATGTGTTTTGTCCCAACCTACACCGAGTGACGACTGGCGTAGGACTGCTATTTTCCACACTTTTACTAAAATTGGAGACAAGAGTTGTAAAGTCATTATTGACAGCGGGAGCTGCATCAACGCTGTCTCATCTGCAATGATAACAACACTTCATCTGAAAACGACACCTCACCCCAAACCCTACAAGGTCGATTGGATAAAATCAACGACCATTGAGATAAAGGATCGAAGCCTAATTCCCATAGATTTTGCTAGATATCAGGACAAAATTTGGTGTGATGTTTTGACTATGGACGTAGGACATATTATTCTTGGTCGCCCGTGGTTATTTGATAATGACGTCCATATATATGGTAGGACCAACACCTGCGTGTTCGAGCACAATGGTAAAAAGATCAAGCTTGTGCCTTCTCAACCCAAACCCAACAAGATCGAAGTTAAGGCCACTCCCGTTAAACCTAGTAAAGACTTACACTTCTTGACTGCGAAAGAAGTGAACGTTGAGCTTAACCAAGGATCCCCCATGTATGCCCTAGTAGCTAGAGAAGTTGATGCTGATCAAGAGGAGCATGTCCCCGATGAAGTTAAACCTCTTCTTGAGGCCTTTGTTGATGTCTTCCCAAAAAATTTACCCAACCAGCTCCCACCCTTTAGAGACATCAAACACGTCATCGACTTAGTACCCAGAGCTTCCCTACCAAACCTCCATCATTACCGTATGAACCCCACGGAGCATGCTGAGCTGAAGAAGCAAGTAGATGAATTCCTGCAACATGGATTCATCAAAGAGAGCCTTAGCCCGTGTGATGTCCCTGCCCTTTTGACCCCCAATAAGAATGGCTCTTGGCAAATGTGTATTGACAGTCGTGCCATCAACAAAATTATGGTTAAGTATCATTTTTCGATCCCTCGCCTTGACGACATGTTAGATATGATGACAGGAGTCGTACTGTTTTCTAAAATTGACCTAAAAAGTGGTTATCACCAAATCAGAATTTGCCCTAGGAACAAGTGGAAAATGGCATTTAAAACTAAGGACGGGTTGTACGAATGGATGGTAATGTTGTTTGGTCTTAGTAACGCCCCTAGCACCTTCATGCGAGTTATGACTCAAGTCCTTCGACCTTTCCTAGGAAAATTTGTCATCATATACTTTGATGATATATTGATATATAGTAACTCGGTGGACCAACATTTGAAT